GGATGTAGACAAACGCAGCGCCACTAGATCCCTCGCTTAAAACTCCTTCGATGTAGACAGCACAGCGTCACTGCACCACTCGCGTTGGGAGTCCTTCAATGTAGACAGCACAACTCTGCTTTCCCTCCGGATCTCTTTCCACTGCTTGGCCGCTGAATTCCGATATCACCGCTGCTGGCTGGAGCTCTGGACCGGACGAAGATCAGGAGCAAAGTGATCTCTGCCGGCGAAACGCCGTTGTTTTAACCCCTCCGGCGGTTGTAGCACCGCTCCAATCAGAGCTACCCGTGCTACAATTGGCTCGGCGGTCCTGCGCGCAGACTCTATATAGGGACCTGCGCGTTGCTTCTTAACTTCACTTTAACTTCATCCGTCAACGCGTCAGCATCGGGAGAAACATCTCTTCAATAACGCCCGGCACTTTTCAGAGCCATAAAAATTTATGGCGAAGAACAATTTTTTTCACCAGCGTTAACATTGTCGAAAAATTCCAATGTGTCTTAGACAATTCCCGGTCGAATTAAAAATTCACTAAATAATGAATAGAAGTAAAAAAAAGAAATGAAAACATTTACAACAAACTCAACTGTTAAATCTAATCAGAGCGTTAGATAATATGAAGATTATCCTGCGTAATAAATTTTTGTGGCCCTGAGAAGGACCGGTGGTTTTTGTTCAATCATTCAAGAGATGCAGCTCTCAGTTCTCACTCGAAGACAGATGAAGTCAAAGGGAAGTTAAGAAGTAACACGCAGGTCATTATGTAGACTCTGCGCACAGGATAGCCGAGCCAATGACATCCCTGGCAGCTCTGATTGGAGCGCTGCTACAACCGCCTCAGTGATTAAAAGAACAGCATCTCCTGGCTAATCCTCATTTCGTTCCTGATCTTTTCGCGGTCCAGAGCTCCAGCTAGCAGCAGTTCCAGGGAAAGGCAATTAGCAGAATTAAAACTTCGAGAGAAAAAAGAGTGGCGCTGTCTACATCTATGAAGCCATAATGCGGGTGCATCCTGATGTTGGCGTATCCAGAAAGCGGTGGATGATGACCTTGTCCTTGAATGGCATCTGCAGAGAATTGATGTGGAGGATTCGAGGTTAGCGATCGAATTATGAAATTTCAATTGCAATGTTCAGTCGTGGACGGGTGAATTGGAAGGTATACCGTAAAAAAAACTTCCGGGAAATTTTCCTTGGAATTAATATTTCAAAAATATCGATATCCGGAAAGCAACCGATCGGTGCTGACAGTCAATTTAAAAAATTCGATTTATTTATTAACAAATTAACTGAAGAATCAATCAATTAATTTTTTGAACTCCTGCAATCATCACTTTTCATTTTTTACGGATTAAAAATATCGATAATGTAATCCACTCATCGAGAGTTGAGAATATCGAATAGAAAACGTCGACTTACTCAGAAAATCGACCTCTTCGATTAGTCGTTCATCCCTCCCTACAGTGCGCATGAAGGTCAAAGTGTCAGGAGTCTTATTCCAAGTGCAGTTCGGAAATTCTCGTTAATACTCAAAAAATATCGAATTAATCGTGAAAATGGCGAGAAAATTTTTCGTTGGTGGCAACTGGAAGATGAATGGAACGAAAAAGGAAATCGACGAAATCGTGGCATTCCTTAAAGCAGGACCACTCGATCCCAATGTCGGTACGTGATCATTTTTTCTCAATGATGTAAAGTACATTTGCACCTCCAAGGCCAACATTTTCTATTTCAATTTTTTTTGGGCCATTTTTTTTGGGATTATATAATAATATTAATTATGGTTAACATTTCTTTTACATTCTTCCTTTTATTCAATTTTTCTTTCTCCGGCATTTATAAAAATGGAATGATGGAATTAATTCAGTGATTTAATTGACTAATTAGTGCTTCATTTTTTTGATATCATTTATTGAATTAGTTAAGTTATTCCAGGACTTGTTACTTAATTTCAGTTTCGAATACAATAAGTGAAATTTTATTAGATTATAAATACCAATCAATATTGTATTATTTTTTACGATCAGAGGTTGTCGTTGGTGTCCCTGCAATCTACCTCCCCTACACGAAGAGCATTCTCCCGAGCACAATAGCTACCAGTGCCCAGAACTGCTATAAAGTACCCAAGGGAGCATTTACCGGCGAAATCAGTCCCGCCATGCTCGTGGATAATCAGATCCCCTGGGTGATCATCGGTCACTCGGAGAGGAGAAACGTCTTCGGGGAGTCCGACGAACTCACCGCCGAGAAGGTCGCACATGCTCTCGAGGGTGGTGTCAAGGTGAGCCCAGAGGGTTCATGATAATATATAATAATAATAATTTATGACCAATGGTTAAATTCAGGTTAAAATGTCTCTAAAAATATTTTAAACAATCCCAAGAAGTCCATAAATATTCGATTGTTCACAGGTGATCGCCTGCATCGGAGAGAAACTCGAGGAACGCGAGGCTGGAAAAACCGAGGAGGTGGTGTACCGACAGACGAAGGCAATCGCCGACAAGATCAAGTCCTGGGACAACGTTGTCCTGGCTTACGAACCGGTGTGGGCTATTGGCACAGGAAAAACAGCGACCCCGCAGCAGGCCCAGGAAGTCCACGATCAGCTGAGGGCCTGGCTGGCTAAAAACGTCAGTCCAGCGGTTTCAGAAAGCCTCAGGATCATCTACGGGGGCTCCGTAACAGCTGGAAATGCTAAAGAGCTTGCTAAGGAGAAGGACATCGACGGATTCCTCGTCGGAGGGGCTTCTCTCAAACCTGATTTTGTACAGATCGTCAATGCCAAACAATAATTACGCTTCCAGTAGAATCGAAGCCAGAGATAAGGATGAGATCGTCAGGACAATAGGGACACTGGAGATTATAATAATTTTAGAAATCAGGGCTGAAGTGGTAAAAATATCCTCCAACTTCCGTTGATATGGAATTATTTTTAATTAATTTCCATGGGCTTTGGGATGGGAGGTAATTCATGGAAATCGCATCATCGAGTGATGAGATACATCGAAAATCCATTTTTACCACTTTTTCCTTCGATCCACATTCATCGTTTCCTGAAGATATTTTCGAGGAGAAAGAGTCTATTCACTGTTGGCCGTTGATAATGTATATTCAGGTGTCATTGTGATGCCTCAAATAAAACCTGATGCACAGATCGTATTTTTTGTGTTTTGCAAACGTTTTATTAACTTTTTTATTAATGACTGTTGGTTGTGTGCTCTTAATTAAGTGATTACTTTATCATTCCTCGAGTGATTACTCCTGGGGGGAGCTCGAGGTCTCTGACTATGTTCAATCCATCGAGTTTTGCTCTAGCCCAGGCAATTTCAGTGAGGGATTTGAAGGTCCGGGGCTCCCAGATTGCCAGATCCACGAGAACTTTTCTATTCAGAAATATCTCACTCCGTGCCAAACCTTCCTTCAGAATTTTAAAATCAATTCCATGCTCTTGACAGGCTCCGTCGAGTCTCTTCGCCCATAACTAAAAAATCATGAAACTATATTAAATAATATCGATTAAACTAACAATAATAATAAAATTATTTATTACAACAGATAAATCTTCAAATCTCAACTTGAAGAGCAAAAAAGGAATGGAATTTCGGGGAAACTGGAAAAATACACAAGGTCATTTTTAATAGGTTGAATATTTAGTAATTGTAGTGGTGTTAATTGTTTATAATTACATCGTTCAATTGCATTCGCTTTATTTTTCTTCCTCTGGAGGAGAACATCATGGAACGCTGGAATCTTCTGATTGTGATAGAGTAACAGTTCCTTCCACGATTTCTGAAGTGCTGTCGACAAAAAATAATAAGTAGTCTTCATTTATGAATAACAATCAATTAACAATAGAACCAGAACAGTACGAAAATGATATTTCTACTTCTGCTAGAGGTAGGCATCAGATAACAATTCAAAATAAATAATTATCAATATAAATTCAAAAAAACTTGCATGTCATGCAATAAATGAATAAACAAATTATCTGATAGGAATTATTAATTGTTGTTGATTGATGACAAACAGGGGATTGTGAAGATATTCGGCAGGATGAGGTAATGGAATTGCAAAATCTCACAGGTACTCACAGCTGCAATTTTAAAGATTTTCCTTTTCCTCCAGAACTGATCGGGTCCCCTGCATCTCGCAAAAAGTGTCACTGATTGAAAAACCATTGCTAATTACCCCAGACACCTTATCAATGATTTTATTCCGCAATTTCTTTGCTCTCTCTTCAATTTTTCACCGGGAACTCGTTTTTCCCTCTGAAGGAAAAGGTTATGTTCGATTATTTCACGTTTTTTCTTCAGGTTTTCTGATGTTTTCTGGGCATGTCCGAACGCACGTGAGAAACAGGCACATCAGTTGTTTAAATAATTCGTAAAACACTCCAAATGGGACCTAAAAAAAAGTAAATATTCATTCAATAAGTAGTTACTGATTAAGTGAACAATTTATTCAATTGAATTAGTGCAGGATTATTTGTAGTTAGCAGAAGGCAGAGAATTTGGTTATGTGTATTTGTTGTTGGAAGAAATGATTCTGGAGAAGACATTAATAAAAACAAAATAAATGCTGGAATTTACTGGAATTGAATATTTAATAAATAAAGAGTACAAACCAACTTTTTAAAATGATAAGCTTCTTGTAATTTTCAGAACGAAGAAGGATTTCAAGGAGTTCGAAACCTTCGAAGACGATGACATAACGAACAGCGAAGACGAATACTCTGAGGGTGAACTGGAGCTTTTGGAGAAGGTCCGGAAGAAACGAGTGCAAGAGAACTTCGACAGTGACGATGAGGTCCTTGGTCTGCACAACGACGAGGATGACGACTCCATGGAGTCGGACATCGAGCGGCCCCAAGAGGAAGACGACTTGCCTGACGAAAGGGCCTGGGGCAAGAGGAAGAGGACTTATTACATGACGGATTACGTTGATCAGGACTACGCTGGAACAAACGATAAAGACATGGAGCAGGCTGAGCTCGAGGAAAAAGAGGCAAGGAACATCCAACAGAGGCTCGCCCAGCAGCTCGATGACGCCGACTTTGGGCTCGAAGGAATGCAACTCCCCGAGGCCCAGGATAAACCTGATGATGAGCTCGTTAAAACTGATTTCAGTAAATTAACTAAAAGGGAGAAATTGGCGCTTGTTAATAAGGAGAGTCCAGAGTTCGAGGCCTTGGTCTGTGATTTTAAAGGTAAATCCATTTTATTTATCACGTTGATTAATTCATCAAGTTACTTATTTATAATTAGTATCTGGAAATTTATTTATTGATAAATATAGTATTTTAATCATTTGAGAAACGATTGTGGATTTGTCAGTTGGTGGAATTGTTTAAATTTTCGTTTAAAGTCGTTACCCAAAAATGTATAATAATGATTTTCTATGAATAATATTACACAAAAGTCTTCAGAGGATCCCTCCATCACAGAAATTCTGATCAATGTCCATAGAAATTCAGGAATAAAAAAAGAATTATTAAGACTAAAGATGCGACGAGAAACGCGACCATAAGAACACACATTGGGATTACACAATTAGTTATTCATATTCATCTGACAATTCCCTGAAGATGACAGTTCAGATTGAGTCTCGATTGTTTTTCCATTCGATTTTGACGTTTGAATTTAATAAATTTTCATAGAACGCATGAACGAGGCGAAAGACATCCTCTCGCCTTTCTTGAAGCTAGCGGAGGAGGAGAATTGGCCTGATTGTCCTGCGCTGAATTTTCTGAGAACAAAATATCAGTTGATTCTGAATTACTGTGTGAACATAAATTTCTACCTCGTCCTGAAGGCGAAGAAAATTGCGATCGTGGATCATCCAGTGATCAAGCGATTGGCGCAGTATCGACAGCTGATGGCTCAGCTGGAAGAGGGCCAGGGGAAGATCCTGGAAGAAGCTGTGAAGATCCTCCAGGCGAAACGCGAGGGTCGAGTCCTCCACAACGTTGTCGATAGTTCTAAGACCCTCCAGAGGGAGAGGAAGAAGTTGAATGACATTCCTGAGGATGTGGAAGGTGAGGAGGGAGGCCTGGACGCCAGTGAAGACGACGAGGCGATGGAAGAAGCCGTCGGAGATGACGGCGTGGAGGAGGACGTCGCACTCGACGACGGAAAGCGACCGATTAATTATCAGATCGCGAAAAATAAGGGACTGACACCTCACAGGAAGAAGGAGCAGCGGAATCCTCGGGTTAAACATAGGAATAAGTATCGCAAGGCGAAGATACGCAGGAAGGGAGCGGTGAGTTTTTTTTTGGGTTTTCGGAGGTGTAATTGTCTCATTATCTCAGTAATCTCATTGTTTTTTCTTGAAGATTTTTTCTTTTCTTCGTTCGGATAATTGTAATTTTAATTTTATTTTGATTATAGGTAAGAGAAGTGAGGAAGGAGTTGACTCGTTATGCAGGAGAACTATCCGGTATCAAGGCCAGCGTCAAGAAGAGTATAAAGATAAAATAAATGAATTTTTTATTTCAACAATTGAATTAATTGGAAAAATGAGGTTTCAATACAAACATCGGCGATTCATTACGGAATAAACTTTTTATTCTTTAGAAATATGTATGAAACAATGGTATTCTATTCTAAAATGTAACAGACTTAGAAACGAAGAACGAAATGTGGCTTTTCCCATTTTTAGAACTTAACCCTCGTCATTTTTGTGATCTCAAAATCATTGAGAGAAACTGGCAATTTCTGGGGCTCAATCAAAATTGAAAATTGTCTTGTGTTTGAACACTTGGAATCCTATCGTTATATTAAGCCTCGAGCTTCGCGAGGATGTCCGATTCACGGAAAAGATGGAATTCCTTCTCGTCATCCTCGAGGTTGACCTTGGTGCCACCGTATTCTGGGAGAAGGACAGTGTCTCCGACCTTTACGCTCAGAGGCACGTGCTGTCCACTCTGAAATATAATTAATAAGTGGATTAATTTCTCCTTAAAGGAGAAAAAAACAAAATCGCTTTCAACCCTCTAGTTTATTATGACTATCTCTAAATCTAGAGCAAGTGCCGAAATTTGTGTAGAAACTTTTTTGTAGTCCTCGGATTTCCAAGTGAAAAAGTTATCGTGTAAAAATTCCTTATTTCCCCCAGATTCCTAGATATCTTCCAGAATGGATTAATTCTCGCTCCAGCTGATTAACAATTCATGACTGATTATCGTTCCAGCTGATTAATAATTAATCAAAGAAGATACTAACCTCGTTCCTGGAGCCAGGCCCAATGGCAACGACCGTTCCCCTCAGTACTTTAGCCTGTGCTTTTTCAGGAATAATAATTCCCCCTTTGGTTTTAGTAACAGCCTCCGCTCTCTGGATCAACACCCTATCCAACAATGGAATGACTCTTTTCGCAACTGCGGCTGCCTGCATCATAAAAACACCTCTCATTAAATTAAATTATTCCATCAAACCAAAAAACCACATTATCGAGAGAAATTTTCATAAGAACGCGCCAATGAAGAGTTAAAAACCAGAAAATTACCCAAAGCAATTCGTCTCCGTGAAATATCTTCAAACCCAAGAGAGACAGCAAAATCTTCGTATGAACTTTTTTGCAGCTCTCGTTGCACCCTACAAATGAGGTTCTGATAAAAATTTCACTATCTCGCTCGGATTCCGAGATATTCCCCGGAAACGTGAGAGGCAAACAAGTGAACTGCAGCTCTTCACTCCACAATTCAGATCTAGTTAACCTGATTAATATTTAATTCATTGATCAAGTATTTTCTACCCCAAAAAAATTCGATTACACTATTTCGTGGAAAGGAGTCGACGATATTCGTCGGTCCGAGAGGGAATCGGTAGAAATGTGAATTTGTCTTGTTTGTCGGGATTTTACTCACCATTTTAATTAGTTAATTAATAGATTAATTATTCCAGAGATATCGACCGGCGATTCGGTGAGCACGTTGTCTGAATGTAACCTAACTGTTGGTGGTGTCTTCCTGCTGGTTTCTCGAATCTTCCAGTCGATTTTCCCCCATTCGTCGGCCGTATCACGTGACCAATCGATTTCACCAGTCAACGATTTTAATTACGTAACGCGCAAAGATTCAAAGACACCCGATGGTGGCGCTCTTCAGGATGATGAAATTCTCAAAAAAAAAAGTCGATCCTCAATTTTTTTGCCTTCTCTCATGTTCTTCAATTAACAAGAATTGAAACAACCGAATATTATGTTTGAGAATGAAATTGTGTCTTTAATTAATTAAGAAATTCATTAATTAAATGAAGATTTCATTTTGTTATATTTTATATTGGGATTATTTCATTTATACACTTCCAGAGGACTCACCCTTTTTCGTAATTTTCCTTTTTTTATAATCAGTGAAACATTAGACAATTTAAAGCTTCAATAAGTACGAAATAATTTGGTTTCAGTGATGATAATTCTTGGAATATCATTCATTTTTTATTTTCTTTAATTTTTGTTGAATAAACAATTTTAATTTGTCAATATAATTCAAGATTATCAAGATTGCTGACATTATTATTCATTTTTCTTCAACAACTAGACCATTCGGTTTCGCTGCAGATGAATAATTCAAGAGCACATCAACAATCATTCAAATTGATAAGAAGTTATTTTCCACAGCAAGAAGATAGCTGAGAACTCTCTTATGACCACCAACTTATCCTTTAAGTAAAAAATCAAACCAATCGATTCCTCACCAAAAATTGAACCCAAAAAAATCGATAAAAATTTTTTATAAATTTATAACAATCTGCACCGAGCAAAAACTCATTCCCCTAATTAATTCATAATTTTAATCTATGAATTCCTCAATTCCAGACAAAATCCACCAAAGAACCAAAAATTTCCAGCAAACATATTGATTCCATGTCTTCAATCGTTGCGCCATTAAAAAATGTTCCTGAATTAATTTTCTTTCTAAAATAATGAATTTCTCAGCGGCCGGATGATTGCGTCATATCGTAGGTTCTAGAAGCACATGGGATCGTCTGAAAAAAAACCGTGAAATCAAAAAAACCATGAAATAACAAGAACATTTCAACGGTAAATAATAAATTATCATTATTGGGAGGTGGAAAATCCTTTACCGGCGATTGTTGACGGGAAAATCGGGGGAATTTTCTGGATTTTTTGGAGAAAATTCTGGGGTTAGACTAGGTGCAATGCGGTGGGGTGAAGTGAGGGGAAAGGAGAAAGGGGGAGGGCACATGTGATATGTGCGGACTTCTCTCCATTCATTCTACTCGGCGTAGACAACGTGCGGGCACGAGGCTTCAATTTTTCACTGGAAAATTTGGATTTTCACTGATTCTACTCACTCCACTCATTAAAGGTAATTAGATGCCCCCAATTATTAGTTTCTCTTGCAATTTAATTAAATTTTTACGAGGTGAAGTAGTTGTTTCATTACGGGGCTCAGGGCTGCGCCGGCAAGGGTTTTTTGATTTTTTTTTTTCAAAGAATTTTTTTAGGCAGTGGTTTTTTGTTTTTTTGGGGGGCGGCAAGTGCGAGGGGAATTTGCGGATGTAAAATTTTTAATTGGATATACGGTTTTTTTTTTATTATTACTTTTCGGTGGAAGTCCACGCGGTGGTTTACATAACCACATTTTTGAGAAGAGGAATTCAGGATTTTTTAGAGACGATTTTTTTTCGCGTTCTGGAGTTTATTGGGGGTAGAGAGGTTTTTTGGGAGTTTTTGAGGATTTTGAACGCATTTTGAGATTTATGGGTATCGAACCTTTTCATTCAGTTGCAGAATTTATGGGTGAAATTAATTTCTGGAAATGTTTTTTTTACTTATTTCATTTTCAATTTCACTTGAAAAAAATAATCTTTAACATCTAGTAGTAATTATAATGAATAATTCAGTAATAATAATTTATGGAATTAATTTATAATGTTAATTTAAAGATGTACAGATTACCAACAATGATGCGAGGTGTGGCTTCACGCCAGCTGCAGTACCAAGCAAGAATGTACGCCAAGGACGTGCGTTTTGGTCCAGAGGTGCGTGCCCTGATGCTCCAGGGTGTGGATATCCTCGCTGATGCTGTTGCAGTAACGATGGGCCCAAAAGGCCGTAACGTAATCCTCGAGCAGAGTTGGGGAAGCCCGAAGATCACCAAAGACGGTGTCACAGTTGCCAAGGGAATCGAGCTCAAGGACAAATTCCAAAATATCGGAGCTAAACTCGTCCAGGATGTGGCGAATAACACCAATGAAGAGGCTGGTGATGGCACCACCACAGCCACCGTCCTGGCTCGAGCAATCGCCAAAGAGGGATTTGAGAAAATCAGCAAGGGCGCCAATCCCGTTGAAATTCGAAGAGGTGTCATGATGGCTGTTGACAAGATCAAAGAAGAATTGAAGAGTCTCTCGAAACCGGTGACAACACCCGAGGAAATCGCCCAGGTGGCGACGATCTCAGCGAATGGCGACACAGCAATAGGTAATCTCATTTCCTCAGCCATGAAGAGAGTGGGAAAAGAGGGTGTGATCACCGTGAAGGACGGTAAGACCCTCAGCGACGAGCTCGAAGTTATCGAAGGGATGAAGTTCGATCGTGGCTATATCTCTCCGTACTTCATCAATTCCACGAAAGGTGCTAAGGTTGAATTTCAGGATGCCCTCGTGCTCTTCAGCGAGAAGAAGATCTCTTCAATCCAGAGCATCGTCCCAGCTCTGGAGCTCGCCAACTCTATGAGAAAACCTCTCGTCATCATCGCCGAGGACATCGATGGAGAAGCCTTGACGACTCTCGTCTTCAACAGACTTAAGATCGGCCTGCAAATCGCTGCTGTCAAGGCTCCAGGCTTTGGTGACAACAGGAAAGCAACTCTCCAGGACATGGCTATCGCCACTGGGGGAATTGTCTTCGGTGATGAGGCCAATCTCGTCAAGATCGAGGACGTGACTGCCAGTGATCTTGGTCAAGTGGGTGAGATAATAATCACAAAAGAGGATACCCTCCTGCTGAAGGGCAAGGGCAATAAAAAGGACATTGATCAACGAGCTGATCAGCTTCGAGATCAGATCGAAGACACGACATCAGACTACGAGAAGGAGAAGCTCCAGGAGCGTCTAGCAAGATTATCTGCAGGAGTTGCTGTTCTTCGGGTTGGTGGTAGCAGTGAGGTAGAGGTGAACGAGAAAAAGGACAGAGTCCATGACGCCCTCAATGCCACGAGGGCAGCAGTGGAGGAGGGAATCGTCCCTGGTGGTGGCACTGCCCTCCTCAGGTGCACCCCAGCCCTGAAAAATCTTAAGCCAGGGAACAGTGATCAGGCAACTGGAATTCAGATTGTAGAGAATGCCCTTCGAATGCCTTGCCAGCAGATTGCAGCCAATGCTGGGGTTGATGCCAGCCTGGTGGTGGCTAGAGTCACAGATGGAAAACTAGGGTATGATGCCATGAACAATGAATATGTTGATATGATTGAGGCAGGAATTATTGATCCCACGAAAGTCGTGAGGACTGCTCTCACTGATGCTGCTGGAGTCGCATCATTACTCACAACTGCTGAAGCTGTCGTCACTGAAATCCCCAAGGAAGAGTCACCTGCTATGGGGGGAATGGGTGGTATGGGTGGCATGGGAGGAATGGGTGGCATGGGGGGTATGGGAATGTAAAGGGCACGGGGTAAGACTGAATTACTGATTTCAAACTGTTAATCCAATCAAATCATACCCATATCTCAGGAACTTGGGAATTTACAAAGAAGATAAATGAATTCGTTAATTAATTAATTAATTCATCAGTTCATTTTTCAGTTGTCTAAAAAAATAGGAATTTTTAAATAAATATCAAGAGATATTTTTTTTCAAGGAGTAGAATTTTGTGAGATCTTCTTTATAAATTCACTCGCTCTCGAGATATTCGGAGTTCAATCGGGATAAAAAAACGTTCCAGGATATTTTTTGACTTTTAATTTGTTCTTCTTTTGTTTCTGTTGGGTTTTTTTTTCGAAGGGTTGATTAGATGGGACCTGGGGAGCCATCTCCATAACGACAAACATTCGACGATTATCTTACATTAAGATTGAGTGAAATAGCATTTCCATCGTAATGAAAACTTTGTGCTCTATTGGGGAGGATTGAAGGGATTATCAGAGGATTTTGGCTGCCACTGCCACGTGGGCACTTAGTGTTAACACTATTAAGAATAGGGTTCACTGAATTCAATGGTTTTTTTGGCATGTCTGGCAGTGAAATGGTGAGACAATTTATCGAAATCAATTGGCAGTGCCTCGTAAAATCTAAAGGGCCTGAAAAATTTCAATCCCTCGCAAGAAGACGTGTCACCAATTCACTGTGCAATCCATTTTCACTTTGTTCGAATAAAAATTGTGAATTCCAATTGCGCTGCGCAAATATCCTGTGCATTGATAAATGAAAAAATGTTATCTGAGTGTTCCTGTTGAAGAATGGAAGTGTAAAAATATCTTAAAATACCGGTTTATCCATAGTACATGTTTTTTTAACAGTTAATTCTTTATTTTTCACTATTAGTCTAAATAAAAAAGATGAAAATACATACAGTCGTTTCAAGTAATTCATTTTCTACATTTTATATGTATTTTGTCCATCGGATGTTTAATGAAAGCTGAAAGGACAGATTTGTTGTTTCGAGGTCAAACTGATTGGGGTTTATCCCGCATTCAATCTGGTTCAAATATGGAATTGAGAGACGAAGCAAAACCGACGAGATTGCTTTTTCAAACATTCAAATACTCTGCAGTTGATGAAGTGAATGACTCAAATTCAATATTCTTAATTATTGATTTAGCAAGAGAAATATCGACTTGATAGGAATATGTTAAAGGACTTTTTTGTAGTCGATAAAATTCCCCACAAAAAAGGTCATTTCATATTTCTTCCGAAATTCCAAAGTTTCTCTATTAAATCACTATTAAAATTTCACTTCATAATTTTTTCACTGATACCTTGAATCTCTTAAATTCACTTCACCCTTACGTCCCCCACCAGAAATTCCCAGAGAGTTGCCCTTCAGGTGGAGCAATGACGCCCTTTCCAATGACATCAGTCAAAAAATCCTTCAACGGTGAGATAGCAAAATTTGAATCTCCTGAATGCTGCACGAGCAACGAATAATAATCCTGAGCAAGAACCCTGAGCATTTTCTTGAATTGATTTGGATAGCAGAGGAGCATGCTGTGTCCAGTGGCCTCGAGGAAGACTTTAATGAGTTTAGGATAAATCTCGATGGCATCGGCCCTGGGCTGGGTATTGAGAATTGTGGCTAACCACGTCCAGGCATTTCCCAGACCATGGGGATGACACGGAATTACGCCCTTGGGGAGTTTTGTCGTAATTATAGCCGCATAGAACCTCATCAATTTCTCCATCCTCTTGAAAAAAAGGGCCTCGTCCTCCCTCGTTCCATCAGGATACGTGTATCCTCGACTGCTCCAAAAATCCTCGTCACTCTGTCCCTGGAAACGAGGCATCACCACTGGTACGGTGTAGGGACACTTTATGTGGAGATACGATAGAACGAGATTCCCAAAATCTGCGTACTGAGACCACAGAGCCACTACTATTGCTGCCAATGCATAAATCCGCCTGAATTTCTGTTCTGCGTAGCCCTCGACTTCATCTACAATGGTCTCAGCCACAAGATTCATGGCAAAAGCCATCTCCATAGCTCCTTTCCCTTGGAAGCTTTCCAAAAATTTTTTAAAAACCTCACTAAGAGGTATTCCCCCGAAGGAGATCCTTTTAATAAGAATATTGAGTTTTCTCTGACAATCCTTCCGATGTCTCCAGTCAGGGTCTACCTGGTCGAGGCCTTTGAATGTCTCCTGGTACCTCTCCACAAAATTCTTCGAGTTCAAGTACACCTGTATGGCTTTCACGTCAACAGTGGCGTCAAGACCCTTCCCCTCAGGAACTGACTCCACAGACTCTACACGTTCTACACGTCCCTGGGCTCTATTGGAGTCTAGACTCTCAGGAGATTTTTCCAAGTGTCCTCCATCCACTCCATCAGAATGTCTTTCAAGAGTTCCTCCTTGACCTCCAGAGCCTACGGGTGTTTCCCCAGTGCTCCCAGAATTCTCTCCAGGATCTCCACAACTCCCTCCAGGTCCTCCATGTCCTCCACTACTCTGCATCAGTGCCTCCTGTTCCTGTCTCGCCCATTCCTCATTAATTCTGTTTACCTCTTCCCTGCAGGCGACAAATACCTCATCAGCCTCCCTCAGGACCTTCTCAGCAGCCGCCACGTCATTACTCGTTAATCCACCAGCCTTGCCACCCTCGATGAGCCCATCGATTCTCACGCTGAACTCCTTCAATCGACTTGTAAAAGGCCCCACAATACTAGCAATAGCATTTTTATTCTTCATCGATGTCATAATCCTCGCAATATCCGTATAATTCTCAGTGAATCGTGCCCTACACCCCACGATCTTCTGCAGGCACTCCTCGTGCTCCTTCAGTCTCCTATGCTCATTTGCCTCCTTCGCCATCCTCTCCTGTCTCTCCTGAAACCTCTGGGCCTGTAGTTGGGCCTCATGGCGACGTCTCAGCTCGTCCTGTTGGGCAAAACGTCTCTCTTCTGCATCCTGTTTTGCCTTCTCAGCTTCCATCTCTCGTTCTCTCCTCGCAGCCAATTCCACTCTCATCGACTCCTTCTCTCGCTGGAGCCTCTGGAGGAAAGCCTCCATGTCCTTTTTCCTTTTGTCCACTGCCTTGAGGACTTCCTCACGACGCAGCACCTCGTTCTCGTGGCGGATTTTTTCGATGGAAAATGTGATCCCTGGCTTTTGCTTTGAGCCTGGGGACTTTGTCGGCCTTGGGGGACTGATATTCGTCGAGTTCCTGTTGTTCTCGGAGGAGATCTCCACTGGGGACCTGGGGGGAGACGTCGAGTCGGGGCCTAGGGTCACACGGTCCACCGAGGACGAGATTTTTATCGCTTTTGTGAAGACTGACAGCCGGAGGGCGTCGAAGTCCACCGATAGATCCCCCATCCTTCCTGGAACAATTCGTGAATCTTTTTTTTTAAATAGCAACTCATAAATAAATTTTATTTATGGGATAAATTTTAAATTAATATTCTAAAAATTCTATAGAATTCGTTGTGATACAAATATTTTAGGATTGCCATTTGGGAATTATAGGTGTGAATGAAAAAATAATATTGAACAAGTTTTACCTTTTTGTATATTTTCTGCAGATGAAAAACTCTTGTAAGCCAATCACTTCGGAATTTATTATCAATCAGGATTTATCCAGTATTTTTAACAACTTGCAATGAAGGAATTTAGGTTATGTGGTGAAAGCTTCGAACTTCTAACCCAACGCCATATTGAATTAAAGGGAGGGCTTTTTCATTGGATCAATTCATAAATTATTTCATTTAAATTTTTATTCAAATTTATCAATTTTTTCCACTTATCGAAAATTTGTATTCATAGCTCTTTAATCTCATGTTACTGATCCTGATCATTTATTCGAACTAATTTAATCAATTGAAGTACAAAATAAATATTCCCATTTATCCAATAGATAAAATCTGTCAGCATGCACAGAGAATAATCAAATCATAGAGTACATTCATGTGAATACGAAAGGTTTATTAACTCGATAACTTATAGTATTGAGGATAAGATTAAGTTGACTTTCGAGGTATTTGTTACTGTCGAATGACAGCCTTGAGATCACGACAGCCGATATCCAAGAGTTCGATTTTCTTCCCGAAATGTCGTTCCATGTCTCTGCAGATTTCCATAGCCTGCGGAGAATCGATTAGATTTATGGCAATTCCTTTCTTCCCAAATCTTCCCGTTCTACCAATCCTGTGAAGATACGTCTCGTGATCTGCCTTGCGTTGCTGATCAATCGGAAGATCAAAATTCACCACCAGAGACACCTGATCCACGTCGATGCCTAGAAAAAATTAAAAACAAAAATTTTCTCTTTAAATTTTCTCGTACATCATTTTTTTTTTATTAACACAATTAAATTGTTGTGTAAATTTTTAATTTTCCCATTGATTTCGGTCCTCAATCCCTGAAGAAATAAAGTATTTGATAATTACCTCGAGCCAGAACATTGGTTGTAACCAAAACAGTGACACGACCCTCTTTGAAATCATCAAGAACAGTAATTCGATCAGCGACAGTCATATCCCCAGACAAAACAGCAACAGTGAATCCCTCATTGATCATCTTGTCAGCGAGCCACGAGGCAGTTCTCCTCGTTTGACAAAAGATAATAGCTTGCCCAGTGAGATTAGTATAAATGGTTGTGATGGCGTCATACTTCTCGTCCATGTCCTGGCAGTTAACATAAAATTGTTTAATATTATCCAAGCACTCCTCCTCCTTCAAAAGTCTGATGATCATAGGGGAATCGACAATTATCTCAGCAAAGTCCATCACAGCTTTCTCATAAGTAGCAGAGAAAAACATAATCTGACAGGTCTTAGGTAACATTTTGTGAATTCTGATGCACTGATCCTGATGGCCCTGAGTTGCAATCATTACGTCTGCCTCGTCCAGAACGAAAACCGTTATTTTATTCAGGTCAAAAAATCGGAACTTCAGAGACCAGTCCAGAGCCTTTCCTGGAGTACCAATTATTATGTGTTCTGTGATTTTCTCACCGCGGGCCACTGCAAATCAATGAATGATAGATTTATGAACTACTCAATTTATGAAGTTAGATCGCTTCTTTCACGAAAATTTGTGCAAAAAAAAAACAAATAAATTTGACATTTATTACTTACTCTCTTCACCCCTCACAGCGTACTTTATTTTTATCTCAGGGCAGTGCTTGGACATTTTGGCAGCCACTTCCCCAGTCTGAATAGCTAACTCGTAAGTCGGGGATAAACAAAGGACCTGGGGGTAGGGTTTCGTCGTGTCAACTCGGCTCAACATCGCCAGGACGAACGCTGCGGTTTTTCCAGTCCCTGACTGCGACTGGGCAATCATGTTTCCTGGTGAAAACATACGTGTAAAGGTCTTCCTCAACAGGAAAAATATTCTATTTGTGTTATTAATATTTGATTAGGCAATTAAACGGCAGGGATTTGATGGAGATGATTTGTAATTACCTGGGGGATCAGCTAGCAATGTGGGAAGGGCCATTTCTTGGATTTTTGAGGGCTTGATGAATCCCATGTCGTAAACACCTCTGAGAAGCTTCTTCTGGAGTTTCAACTCCTCGAAGGATTTCACACTGTACAGAGGAGAGTGGGGATTCTTTCGCTGAATTTCTAGCTCCTGTGTCGAATCCACGAGAGACTTGTGGAGAAGTTTTCTGAGGAGTGACTCCTCCGCTGCTGTTGGGGTTTTGTCTGTCTCGTTTCCATCAACTCCATTCGTCTCAGGGGATTTACTGTTCTGATTTACTGATAAGTTCGTTACCTGGTGGAAAGACGGACGTAATTCAATCGTTTCAGAGATCTAAGTTGCAAGTCTTTCAGTGGACAAAGCCCCGAAAAATACTGGAATAATTCTCGATAGCCCTGGAGAAGGTTAAGTTAGTGTTTTCTTAGTAAATAAAAAAACTCACAGCAGATGCCAGTTCTCCTTCTTCTGCAAGTTTTCCCCAGTCAACTTTACCAGTCGTCATTTCGATCTATTGAGCTCGAACAATTCCTGAAGATTCAATAATTACCCAACTGTTGTTTACGATTAAATAAATTTATTGCAAACGAGGAGTCTCACCCGAGATTATGGGAGATTGCTGAAGTTTATAGAAAGGCAACAGACAGAGTTTCCTAGTGGTGGCGTGTGAACTAATCAAGAGAATTAATTATTCTGTTGATAAGGAAGAACTCGATGTGGAGAGTGTCGATAATTGCAAGAGCGATATATTTCCATTTAAATTTTTAAATTTTACTGAATACCTCCTCGATTCTCTGCTCCCCTGATATTTTTTCGAAAATTTCGAATTTTAAAAATCCAGTGAATACCTCCTCGATTGCCATGCTCCCCTGATACTTTTTTGAAAATTGCGAATTTTCAAATTCCAGTGAATACCTGCTCGCCTCTCATGCTCCCCTGATACTTTTTTCAAAATTTGTCATTTTTCAATTTCAGTGAATACCAATCGTCGTATCTTGTCAAATTGAGACTGCCCGTGTTCTGTACGCATGGACGGTGTGCGTGCGTATGCAGGGAGTATCGCCTGGCGACCCCCCACTCGAGCGGTCTTCTGTGCGCATGCAGGGTGTTCTGTGCGCATGGGGAGTGTTCTGTGCGCATGGGGAGTGTTCTGTGCGC